AAAAAAAAAATCCTCAATGATTTATACAAAGAATCAGCGGCAAATCATCCCATATTTGAGAGTAGGTAATGTCAACTGCAGAGTTGGGAGCAAAGCTCTTCAATCCTATCACTGCTCGCATTTGGTAAGGGGTAGGTCTGGCTTCTGTCACTGCCACCCTCACACGTTAAATTCAACTGGTTCCCATCTTGATATGCCTGCAAAAGTTCACAAATTGCATATTACATTTACAGCAACTATTCCATCCCCTTAAAATTTCATCATCATGGCTGGACAAAATGCTTTGTATTTCGAGTAATTTTGCAAGAAGTTGGCGGGAAAATTTTTCTAAGGTTTTTTTTTTTTTTTTCTAGAAAACGATGAATTCAGATAAAAAAAAGTAGAAGATATCAGCTCCATACCGAGCAATTAGTTGCTGATGAATTGCAATGCCATCTTGAAGTGGGAACGCAGCTCAGATAATGGCACCAAGAGCAGTGATCATTGCCATTAACCCCACGAAAAAGCATGATCATACCAATTGTAAATCTGCACCAAAATCAATAATATTGGTAATTTTTCCCTAAACAATCCAAAAATTTGAGTTTCTCCAAAGAAGCTCACCCCACAATCAGAAGAATTGCAGCAGCTATCCACAGTACATACTGATACATCCTATGCTTACGTTTCATCGAACCAATGTGTTGTTCACTAGGAGGTTGATTCTGTTGGCTGATCCATCCAAACTGAGGGCGAATCAATAGTACAAAGCCAAGAAGAAATCCAGAGATAAAACCTCCAATATGAGCAAAGTTGTCCACATGTGGGAGGACGCCAACAGCCAGGTTTATTACAATGATGAACACAAGTGTCAGCAATGCTGCAAGCTACAGATGAATGAAACACGTAATAGATACAAGAACTTCAATTCCAGCTAAACTCAAATTAATTAGTAAAATTACAATTGTACCTTATTTGCGTAAATTGACCAATTTGTTATGAGTTCGGAGAGCATGCCGCCTAGTAATCCAAAAAGTGCTCCTGAAGCACCTACTGATATGCTTGATTGGATAAAGAGAGCAGATAGTAAGCTACCACCAAGCCCAGAGATAATGTATAGAAGGCCTATTCTGGCTGGTAAAGAAGGAAGAAATGTTAGAACAATAGGAAATATTTGACACTAGACTGGACAGCTTGGATCTAATTAGTTTGAGGTTTATTTGGCGAGAGTAAAGGTTTAGACAGTCAAGTTAGAGGCATTTGCACTCTTTTGGGCCATGGGATTCAGCTTAAACCTAAATAAAATAAAATGCATATGTAAGATATATAATTTGCAGCTATATATGCTGTGGAATTTTACTCAATTAGATTGGGCATATCGGTAAAGGTTCTGGTCCAGTTTGCCCCCTTATTGAATTGGTTTGGAATTGCGTAATAATTGTGTAAGAAGCAGCAAAAGATGCTTTCTATCTTCGTACAAGCTTAGAAACAACCGAGAGTAAAACAAAAGGCGTTAAATTTAGAAGCTCCATGTTTTAGTATTATTATTTAAGAGAATGGTAGCCAGCCACTCCACGAAAAACATCTCCTGATTATTATATTAGCTTTTCATAGATCATTAATAAAAAAAAAGTAAAATCACTGACAGAAAGGAAGGACAACATCAACATAAATTTGGGTCAATACATATGATTGATACTAGTAGATAAGATATTGTTAAGTTGAAATGTCACTTACGAAATCCAAATTCTTGTTCGAGTCTAATTCCAATGAAAAGAAGGCTCAACATATTGGCGAGTATATGGACCACTCCAGCATGAAGCCAGGCACAAGTAACTAGGCGCCATCCTTGGTGCCCATGGACCACCTTGTTCACATCAAGAGCACCCATCTTCTCTAGCCTAATGGAATAAACACATTCAGCGTCCACAGATATACAAGACTAAATTAGAACCTGCCACTCAGTAAATGATGTGGAGGAAATAAAATAACAGGAAGGAAATTTTACACAATTTAAACTAAATATCATCATAAATTCTGTAAGAAATTATTGAACTGGATTAAATGCATTGCATTTTGAGTGGTAAATCAGGATGAGGCCGATATGGTTTAATATAAACTTAAAAATGTTATATTTCAAGTTGGTCTTTCGACAAGTTGTGTTGAGACACACGTAGACGTGCACATATATCATATATCAAGTTATTTTCAAATTAAATCAAACTAATTTTGAGCGGCCATCTTCAACTCAAAGCAAAAAAAACTAATTGTGAGCAAGCCGTATTCAAATCAAAGAAAAACAATCTCAATTTCGAATCAATTAAAACTCTAATAATTATCGTGAGCTTCAAGCATAATTATTAGCCTTATGTTGATGTCAAGCATAAAACAGATGCAATCCATAAGCATGTTTCTTTAGAGATTACTCCTTTCTTCATCAACACAAACAAGACAGTCTCTACTTCGCCAGAAAATTTTATTTATTCAGAATGTGTTATTGAAATATCAAATAGCCCAAAAGAATGAAAATACACAAATTTTACCTTTGATTTAAACAATGCAAAAATGTCACGTCAAAGGATACATGAAATATTAATTATTTTATTTGTATTTTTTCCTAATGCAACTCTACAAATGCTAAAAATGCATACATAAAACTGATAGAGCTTACACAGATCTGTTTAGGGAAAGCATTTTAAGAGATTGCGTAATTTTGTGTGAACCCATCATCAAGAGATCGTCATGCTTTAAGCAAAATAAACTAGTAAAATTTGTCAGAGATCAATCAACCACTTTTTCATTAGTGTCAGATATTAGAAGTACTAATTTAGTTAGTTATAAGAGACCGGTGTAGAGCAAACAAAATAAGAAAGTTATCATTAATAACATTAGATTCACAGTTAAGTAATCAGCAGAGTCAAGAACTTGGATGACTAAGAGGTGGAAATCAAAATTAGCAAGCCATGAAAGAAACTTATGAAAATCTGAGCAGGTAACTTTACCGCTAAATTAATGTAAGAATACCGAAGATTTCTAAATGCATTTCAGATTATGCAGGGAATGAATTGGTTTGTGTCAGTTCTTTCAATAGAAAGGAGGAATTATTAGGTCATTAAAGCAAGAAAGCTGCGAATTTGTTGAATAAAGATATGTTATGGCCCATGGTCAGCTTTGGATGTCAAACATTTAACATTAAATCTTTATGAACATCTGTGAAGATTTAAATTGAGCAGAATACAACTAGAAGTCTATAACTGAAATTTTTTAGTCAAAATTATGGATCACCTCAAACAGGTTTATAAACATTTTTCCGAAGTAAACTAGGCATTAAACCATTTTGTTAATTGATATGACAGAATAATAAGGTACATGTGGAAAGCTAAACCTATAGGGTGTAAAATGGAAATAAAAACGGGAGCAAAGACAATACAGAGCAATCAATGAGGTAATATGTGAAAGTCACATTATAGAGGGTATAGATGAATGCATGGAAACTACAGGTAATCATAAAATTCAGTTTCCTAGATTCAGAAGCATGTTTTTACTTCTTCTGAACAGTTTAAA